ATTTGAGGTTGATTTGATACAAGCCTTGTAAGTTGATAGAATAATAGATATTTAATTAGTTGCTTTTGGGGTTGATTTGATACAAGCCTTACAGGTTGATAGAATAATAAATATATAATTGGTTGCTTTAGGGGTTGGCAAAATAATTATTTTATCATACTTATAAGTCTTTTTCAATAAGTAAATAACTTCTAGAATTTCATGTAAGAATTTAAGTTTGATTCAATAGTCAAATTTCCTGTTATCATTATTTTAAGTTGTTTATCCTGACCTAATGCAACCAAATCCTCCTTTTAGATCTAAATTAGTCTTATTGATCAATGAAAATATCTACTAGGTTATCTACATGATATGTTTAGAGGAAGTTCTCGTATAAGTGCTCAGAACCTTATATTTTTTTAAAAATCAGCTATATCATATCATATAAAAAAAGAAAAGAATGTTTAAAAATCAAGAAAAATGCAAATCGAGAGCAAAATAAAGGAGATTTAACCATCATATCCAAGTTTTTTTTTCTTGTTTTTTTTTCTAGTTTTTTTTTTTGTTAATTTTACTTATGAATTTGATATTTAATCTCTTCAGTATGGGAAATAATTTTTTTATAATAGATTATCAATGATTTTCAATTGATTACATATGGAATGTAATTTAAGACTAATAAACCAAGTTTGTCAATAATGATAAGCAAATATGCAAATTGTGATTATAGATTATCAACGATTTTCAATAGATTACATATGGAATGTAATTTAAGACTAATAAACCAAGTTTGTGATTTTATTTCTTGATTCAACCTATAATTTTCTTCATTTATCTATTTCATTAAATTAATTTAAAGAGTTTTTTCTAAGTTATTTAATGTGAAGAATACAAGTAGAGAGTTTAATTTACTTAATAACAAAATAAGGAAAGATTAAGATAATTATACTTGTGATTATTTTAGGATTGCTAAATTTAAAAGAAAGTGAAAAGGAAATCCTAATTATATGTTATATTTCATGTTTAGAAGTGGAGATTAACATCTTAACCATGTTTATCATAATTTTTTGAACTTTGTTAAAACCTTTTATAATTTTCAGCTTTCTAGACTTTTATTTTTATTTTTTTTATATATCAAATCAATTTCATATCAACCTAAATTTTATGTGCAACTAGATTAAGGTGTTTTTAGAGTGTTTATAATATTTAAGTCGATTTCATTAAATTTAGATAAATTTTTTACTTTCATTGTCTTTACTAGTCATATGATAGCTTTTTAGACAACTCTAAATGTTTCCTTTGGGTAAGTTTTTTTACTTTACTACGTCAAGGGAAATGCTTAGTCGATCCTTGCCTCTATGTTCTATTAAAAAAACATAGATAACAAGATTAGTAATTGCTATTAACTTTCTCTTCGTTATTTTAATTGGGGTTCCCCTTACTAAATCTGTAATAAAATCTATTTATACTTTGCTTATCTTACATATGATTAGAAATAAGTCCTGATGCCTTTCCTGCACATCTTTGTTTTATATGGTTGAGTCTTTCTCTAACCTTTACCTGCAAAGAAAATTATTGTGAAAAGCCTTTTAATTAACTAAGTTCTTTGTTAACGAACTTTATATTCATGACACGTGCTTAATCCACTCTTATAGTTAGAGATATGCTCTAGGTGCAAGATTCACTACTAATTGCCTTAGAATTTCCTAGATTATTCTATGTAAGAGATTTTAGTCATTTGTTTACAACAACACAAGGTCTTTAAGGAAGAGGTTGTTGTCTTAGTAGTTTTTAGTCTACAATTTGTCAATTGAAAAAAATATTATATAGAAATGAACCTTATTGAATAATAGACCGAATAACAATGTTATTTAATGCATGGATTTATTTTAAACACTTTTTAAAATATAAATTTTGACGTGGTGATTTTTTTCTAATTAACTTGGTATATGTTATTTGTCTAGTTTTTTATTTATCTTAATTATTTCTTTTATTTTATTCATATATTTTTTAATGTTTCAACCTACTGGAGAAGAGATAAATTAATGATTTAAAAGAATCTTAGAATTTACATCATATACTTATAGAACAAACGAACAATTTACATCTTTTCAATCTTCATAATCCAATTTCAACAAGCATTGTATATTGCCCTCTAACCTAGTTAACCAACTAAGCAAAGAGGAAGAAATGGGAAAAAACATCCAAACTCTTAAAGAGTTAGCAACACTAACTTTTAACCAACAACTTATTTTCATTTTATACCTTTAACTTGAAGTTATTTTTGAAATTAAATAAAAAGATATTTTATTAAATTTTTATGATTTTGCAGATGAAGATCCAAACAAGCATTTTAAAGTGTTTTATATTATTTATTTAAGCTTGAAACCAACCATAATTAGATCTAATTTTACCATTAAGGGTTCTTTAGTTCCTAAATTAATTTTTAAAGTCCCTATGTCTACTAATGTTTCTTTTCCTCCTTTTCCAAGTGGGTTTATATAGTCTTATAAAAAGAAAAGAAAAATGATATTTTGAAAACCTTCAATAAAGTTCAAGTCAATATACCATTTTTAGATGTCATAAACAAGTACCATGTTATACAAAGCTTTTCAAGTAATTATACACCACGAAACATAAACTAAAAGATGATGAGATGATAAGAGTGAGGGAGAATGCATTTTCTATTTTACAAATGAAGCTTCTTCCAAGATTTAAAGATCTAAAAAGTTTCACCATACCATCTACAATCAACGACACTAGGTTTGAAAAATCTAAGATAGATTTTGAAGCATCTATTAATGTCATTCTTTATTCCATTTATGCTTTTTTAAATTTTGGTTCACTTAAAGAAACTGATGTAGTTTTTTAACTTGTTGATTGATCTAATAGCTATTCAAAAGAGTTTTGAAAGATGTTTTAGTACATGTGAATGACTTAGTCTTTCTATCTAATTTGTATAGTCTTGATATGGAGGATGACTCATTTTCTAGATTGATACCATTATTATTAAGGAGGCGATTCATAAAGATTTCTTAAACAAAAATAAATGTTCATGATGGAACAAAACAACAAAGTTTGATGGCATGGTTATACACTTTAATATCTTTAAGACAATAAGACACCCAAATGATTTACTTTGTTTATTTTAGTTGACATACTATATCATTTAGCATAACAATTCTTAAAGTTAACTATAAAGGATGTTTTAGAAGTCGTCATAAGTAGAAGCCTTGGTTTGGAGGATTAAAAAAAGACAAGAAGGTATATGTAATTTTATAAAAATATAAAGGACCCTTTATCAAAAATCTTCAAATAGGTGTAATGCTTCTTTCATTTATTTACCTTTATATAATGAGAAACTTTTAACTTATATGATATAAGCCACTATCTTGACATTTAACTCATTCTTAACCACCTTAAATATATATAATTAAATAAAGGAGATATATTGCTTGTGATCATTGGAAATAATATTATGACTTTATAAGAGAAAAACTAGTCTGTGTATTGAAAAATCACAAAACAACTATTGGTTGGATAATAGTTAACATAAAAGAGATAGGTCTGTGCATTTATTAAATTTCGTTTAAGGATGGAGCAAAACCAATTAGAGAGTATCAATGTTGATTAATCCTTCTATGATGGACATTATGAAGAAAATTAAATTCTAAAATTGCTAGATGTTGACATGATTAATCTTATTTTGAAAAACAAATAGGCAAGCTCAATTTAACTTGTTCCAAAAAGATCTGACATTATCGTAATCAGGAATAAGAAAAATGAGCCAGTACAAACCCATATTCAAATCAGATAATGGGTTTGCATTGATTATCAAAACTTAACTCTATTATTCACAATGATCATTTTTCTTTTCCATTTATTGATAAAATATTAGAAAAGATGGCAAGTCATTCCTATTATTATATTCTTGATTGTTATTTAGGTATAATCAGACCATGATTTCGTTAAAAGACTAAGAGAAGATAACATTTATATGTCTTTTTAGAACACTTTTTTATTACTAAGAGAAGACAACATTTATATGCTTTTTTAGAACATTTTTTTATTGATGTATGTTATTTGTTTTTTATAATACCCTGTAACTTTTCAATGATGCATGATTAAGATATTTTTAGATTACAATGAAAGTATCATAAAAAGTTTTATAAATGATTTTAATATTTAGTTAACTTTGTATTTGTTCTTAAACATTATAGAGAAACTAACATCATGCTTAGTTGAAAGAGAATTGCAACTTTTATGATCCATCGTAATCTAGTTTTAAGTCCTATATATTTTTACCACCTCTCACAAGTGTAAAAAGGTTTTTTTCTTTATTGGACAAGTAAGTTTTTATCAAAGTTTAATAGAATTTTTTTTAGAATTACAAGGCTTTTATGTATAGTATTACAAGAAAATGATAATATTTGAATTCAACTGTAAGAAGTTTAAGGAACTCTTAACTATAAATCCAATTATACAACATCTTAGTTATAGCTTTCAATCAAAACTCTCCTCCTCTCTCTCTCTCTTTCTATATATATATATATATATATATATATATATATTATTTTGATTAATTTATCAAAAGTATTGTTTTTAAAATAAAAAATTTACAAAGTAAAATTTAACAAAAAAATCATAATCAATAATTTTCACATGATGATAGAAAGAAAGAAAGAAACAATCAATGCAAAGAAATATGTAAAACACTTACTGGCTGCGGTACGAGCTCCGACTTAATGGAGATTTATTCTTTGAAAAAAGAAATGGAAGGGAAGGAAGTGGATGCATGAGTTCTTCATAAGGTCTTTTCTTCTGCTGTTTTTGTGCCCTATTTGAAGGACAGATTTCGCCAGCCATAGCCGGATTCCGGTGTTCTTGTATTTTTTTTAAACAAGGGTAGCGTGGTAATTGGCACGGGAGAGCTCATCTGTGTGTTGTTAGAACACGTGTTAATATGAAGTATAAAGTATCTGAACCCTTCAAATTTATTTTTGCCACGTGTCACTCTCAGAGAGGCAAAGACATTGAAAAGCATAATCTTCCGCAGTAGTTACTATCTCCATTTGTGAAATTCTTTTGATGGCCCGAGCCTCGATTTGATCGTGTTTCTCTCCTCCGGTTAATTTCATGGCACAGCCTTTGTTCTTCTTAGTTGTCTGGCTTGTATTGGCTCCAACTGCAACTGCCCATGATCTTCAATCCAATGAAGAAGGATACATCTCTCTGCTCTTATCCAACAAGGGAGTTGACTTTGCTAAAGACGTGCTCATAAACAAGGCAGTGTCCACCATAATCCCACTTCAACTACCTGATATTGAAAAGTCTGTCAAAATCCCACTGATTGGCAAAGTACATATGATTCTTTCAAATATCACAATTGATAGTGTCAATATATCTTCTTCATATGTTGAAACTGGAAACCCAGGTTTAGTCCTGGTTGCTTCTGGTGCTACTGCCAGCTTGAGCATGAAATGGGCTTACTCGTATAGCACCTGGTTGATTGTCATTTCAGACAGTGGAGATGCTTCAGTTCAGGTACATATGTATGGCTCGGGAGTTTATTTATTTACGTCTTCTTTTCCCCCATTACATGTTTTTTTTCAAGTCAGCACAAGTTCTTGGATTTGTTAAACATGGGTGCTTCTTCATAGTTTCAGCTTGCTATTTCTGTTAATTAGTCATACTTGTTTCGATTTAATGAAAGCTTGAGAAGGGCACATGGTGGTATTGAGATGTGGTTATTTAATGTACACCTTCTGTTAAAAGTAGTTCGGCCAGGGAGAGGGGAAACAGTAAGGTAGCCTCCAAGGGAATTGACTCAGATGATAAGAAAAAAAATGACTTTGTAGCTTTTCCATTTTGAAATGTAACTTCGCGGTATAATTACTATGATCTCTAGCAACTTCCTTCTTAATAAATCAGCAGGGGTTCTACATTTCTATCCCTTTTCTCCCAGGCCTTATATTCCAAGTAGTATTACTCTGTCTTGTAGCCTTCGCAGCATGCTATGAAGATAATTTGACAACCTGTATAACCAAGTGCTTTCTCTTCTTCTTGAGCACTTGCTGTCTCTCTTGTGTGCCGTCAACAAAATGTGAGAATGTCATATCTTATATGAGAGCAAGCATCATAATTGGACGGATAAAAGAAGAAGCTACAGACAATTGGAACTAGTGATTGAGAACACATATGGTATCCCTGATATGGTGGGAATACTATAATGATGCATAACACTCGGAAACTTGTTTGGAAAAAGTTTTTCTTGTCTTTTTCCCTCCAATGTTGGGGTATTTTCAATTTCAGTAAGTGGAAGATATAGAATGACATAGCAAACTCAGATGCTTCTGTTTTCAATTTTCGTGATGATTAATTTAATGGCAATGTCCTATTCTGTATAAGTTTTCTGAAACTTTTGTCGTCTTGTTTGACATCATGAAATAATAATCTTTATACTGTCTTTTAACAAAATGAAATTGGTGAGCAAAGGTCAAAGGTATGGAAGTGGGGCTTACTGTATCTTTCAAAGAACAAGGAGGAACTCTTGAGCTGTCCCTTCTGGACTGTGGATGTCATGTGCAAGATATTACCATCAAATTAAATGGGGGAGCATCCTGGCTTTATCAAGGGTAAGCAACCGTCCTCTGTAATCCAACTTTTCCTTGAAGGAAAGTTGTTTGTCTTTGTTTTAGTCATGAAAATCGCATATATCATTTCAAGGTGAATGTATTTTTTTGTAAAACATTTGCATATAATAGATAAACACTCATGTTTGAGAATATGTTTCCATACGTACTCTATTATATAGTGTTTATTGGAAAGCTTACTTGAATGAAATAAAGATTCTTAAACGTCCATAAAATGACCAGGAAATAAGAATGGCCTTTTGAACTACATGCCAAGTTTAATTTTATCCCAACATTCGAGTTGCAGCAGATTTACTGTTGTAGACATGGAAAAGGAAAATAGTTGGCTACAGTTACAGAATTCCACATACTTACTACAATTTTATGTCCTCTTTATCTTCCAGGATAGTTGATGCTTTTCAAGGGTCAATAGGTTCTGCAGTGGAAAACGCTATTTCCAAGAAAATCAAAGAAGAGATAGTAAAACTTGACTCCCTATTGCAGTCACTTCCAAAACAAATCCCAATAGATCATGTTGCTGCACTGAATGCTACTTTTGTGGACAGCCCTGTGCTGAGTAATTCTTTCATTGAACTTGAAATCAATGGTTTATTCACAGCAACCGATGATTTTGCAGTCCCCAGAAATTATGATAAAGGAAAAAAAAGTTCCCTTTCCTACAACTGCCCTGCTAAGATGATAGGAATTTCATTACATGAAGATGTTTTTAATACTGCTGGATTAGTATACTTAAATGTAAGTTCTTGCATTGCTAGATATTGAACTTTGACAGTACACCAGTGCATTTAGATTCTTTTTCTCTGTGCTCCTATGTAAGGTAGGAATGTAAATGTGTGTTTAGAAATGCCAAAAGGTGTCTTAGATCTACTGGAAAGTCCCAAAATGGTTCATATTATTTGTTTCCAATCTACTTTGCATGCTTGACCTTGGAAACATGGGATGTTGTTACCTTTCCTTGTGTTGGGTTTTTCAAATTGGCAAGTTGTGTCTCCTTCATTGGATAGTTGCTCGACATGTAACATATTGTTTAAGCAGTTGAACTAACGCTTCTTTTTTTATTCCCGTGATCAGGCAGGTTGTATGCACTGGATAGTTGACAGTTCTTTGAATCATTCTTTTCTAAACACTGCAGCGTGGAAATACGTATACCCCCAACTCTACCTGCAATATCCAAACCATGACATGAGTCTTAATATTTCAGCAACTTCTTCTCCAGCGGTAAAAATTGCCAAGAATGGCATTAACGTCACCATTTACTTAGATGTGACAGTTAATGTTTTGGATGATAGCAAAGTGATACCAGTTGCATGCATCTCGTTGGTACGTTTGATTGAAGTTGTGTTTGTTATAATGTAATTTTCATTGCCACTGATTTGTTGGTTTTTACCTGTTTCTTTCTTCTTCATCCCTTTGGGTACATCAGCCAAATGATATCTTTAGTCAAATGACAAGTTGGCTTTTAAGTTATTACCATTGAATAAACCTAATTCCTGAAGCATGATTAGTATGCAATTGGGTAGTTACATTTTTTTTTTCCAGTTTATAAGAAGCCTTCTTTTGGTTTAAGAGTTTGGAGCTGGATGCTATCAATATACTGTTTATGATGATCCTAGGGCTATTTGCTGTGCAGGAAATTAATGCTTCTTGTTCCCCACAAATTTTATGGAATAAAATAGCTGGTATCCTCAAGCTGAAAAGCTTTACCATGTCTTTAAAGTGGAGCGAAATTGGGAATATCCATATGGATCTACTTCAGGTACAATAACAGTAATGAAGTTGTTTATGTCCGCAATATCTTATGATCACATGGAATTTGAATGGAGCCAAATGAACCTTAAGAAAAGTATTTCAAACCTTAGAAAATTATATATGAGATCTCTGATCAAACCTATTCATGTGTTTTTGTAGCCATCCAGTCAGTTTAGTCATCTACTCATTTAGACATCCACGAGTGTTTGTAATGTGTTTTCTTGCTTCGTCATCTGCATGGTTAAGCGTTTATTCTGTTTGTTCATAATATTCTAGTTCTATTTGCACAGAGCTATGGAAAGAGGTGTACACAAAATTCTGTCTATTTCGAAGTGCCCTTCTGTGAAAAATTAAGCTGTAACCACCTGCAAGTCCTCCTTTCTGGATAATAGTTAGATATAAATTCTATCAGTTTATTGATCTCACGTATGTTTTCCAACTCTTGCAGCCAGTAATTTTTGCTCTTCTCGAAACCGTCTTCATTCCATATGTAAACTTACACCTCATGAGGGGATTTCCCCTGCCACTCATTCATGGATTTTCACTCCAGAATGCTGAAATTCTCTACACAGAATCGAAGATCATGACATGCAGTAACCTTTTGTATGCATAACAAAAGCATCTCAGGGATATCCATTAGAATTTCTTAAACTTCATGACTTTTGAGTTTAGTTTCTTAGTTTTTCATGACACTTAGGTTTTCTAGTGTCTTTTAATGTTTTCATTTTCTTCTTTTATAAATAAATTATTTGTCTTGTGTTCTAATTAAAAAATATATAAGAAAATGAATGAATAAATTTCTCTTTCAATTTTTTTAATATGTATGTTTTTACTTGTTCTTTATTTTGTTATTAGTGCGACTACTTTAATTAATTTATATTGAAATCTTGGTATATATGAACTCTTATGTCACGTGACTTGTATTAATTTCAATATTTTTTTTTCATTTTTGTTCATATTATATGAAATATATTTGGTTCTATAACTTATTTTCACAAAAAAAAAATTCTTTTGAATTCATGAAGATTTAAAGTTTCCGAAGAACTAGTATTGTATGTTCCTGAAGAATTAAATAAATTAAATGCAGTTCTTGACTAGTTAATATTTCTAAAGAACTAAATAAATCATAATCTTAAAATACTCATTTCTATATATATTCATTATTTTATTTAATAAGTTAGTTTCTTTTTATATATAGATAATGCTGAATATGAAGAAACTTGAATTTATCATTTTTGATATATCTAGGAATAATTATTTGTCATGGATCCTTAACACTGAGATTCATCTAGAAGCTATGAATTTTGAAGAGACCATTAAAGAAGAAAATAACACATCCTTGTAGTATCATATAAAATCAATGATTTTCATTCGTCAGCATTTACACGAAAGATTAAAAATTGAATATCTCACAATAAAAGATTATCTTGTTCTATGACATAATCTAAAGAAAAGATATGACCACCAAAAGTTAACAATATTTCCTCAAACTCATTATGATTGGTTGCATTTGAGGTTGTAAGATTTTAAATATAGTTTTGCTCTTTTTAAAATTATCTTATAGTTAAAATTGTATGGTAAAAATATCACAAAAAATCAAATATTAGAGAAAACATTCTCTACTTTTCATACCTCAAATATTGTCTTGCAGCAATAATATAAAGAATGTAATTTCAAGAGATATTTAGAATTAATTTAATATCTTCTTGTGGCTAAACAAAATAATGAGTTTTTGTTGAAAAATCATAAATCTCATCCCACAAGTTCTAAACCATTCTCTGAAATGAATGAAACCTTTATCCAAAAGACAAGGAAAAACTAAAGGTATATATATAAAAAAAAATGAAAAAAAAAAGATATAATCCTTCAGAAGGTAACTCACCATATCATCAGAAGTAAAAACACAATGAACCCAAACAAGAAAAAGATAGAAAATAATCATCTAGGTGGTGGCCAAGTGGTAAGGACTTGGGATCAAGGGGTTTGCTCCCTCTGTGGTCTCAGGTTCGAGTCCTTGGTTGCTCATATGATGGCCACTGGAGGCTTACATGGTCGTTAACTTCAGGGCCCGTGGGATTAGTCGTGGTGCGCGCAAGCTGGCCCGGACACCCACGTTAATCTAAAAAAAAAAAAGATAGAAAATTTGAAAATAAGTATCATAGATGTGATATGTATGGTCATTGCTCTTGCACTTATCGTACGCCAGAACATCTTACAGATTTATATCAAACCTTTTTTAAACAAAATATAGTTGAGACAAATTTTATTAATAAAGATGATTTTAAAGGTCATAACGCCTATCTTGATGTTAATGTTTTATTTAAAAACCAAGATAAAACAGATAACATGTTTAGTGGTGGAATATTTGAAGATGATTAATATTTTTTTATTAGTATTATAATATTTTATCTTATTGTATTTTCAATAAACAATGTCAATTTTATTTTAGTTAAATAATAAACTTTAATTATATTCTGAATAGAGGTATGGCTTTTCATGATGGAGATTTATATTTAGAAGATAATGCAGAGCACACACAATTATCAAGGAAAAGAAATATTTTGAATATTTGACATTAATCAAAACTAATATCACTATAATATCATGTCTAACAGACATTATTAAAGACCCTAAAAGAGCTAATATTTTATTACCAAATAATACAATACTGAACATTAAAGATGCATTATATTCACTTGAGTCTAGAAGAAATTTACTCATATATATGTGTGTGCGCGCGCGCGCATGGGCGCTAATGGTTATCATATTGAAAAATAGATGAAGATAAAAAAAATATTTATCTTATTTCACGTATTTTAGGTTAGAAGCTTATACTTGAAAAATTATATGATTTCTCTTGAATTTATTATATGGTCACGAAATCTATTACAACAAATGTTGTGATATACTAGAAGTGTTCCCACCCAAAAATATTTATGTTTTAGCATAATCAACTTAGATATCCAGGATTAATAATGATGATATCAATTATTAAAAAAATCACATGGGCATCTTTTATAAAACCTGAAGATTTTTTTTACCAAGTGAAAACACATACGCTTCATATTCTTAAGGTAAATTAATTACTAAACCATCTCTATCAAAAGGTTGTTAAAGAATCACCATATTTTCTCAAAAGAATTTAAGGAGAATACATGGACCTATTCATCCACCATGCAGGAGTTTTATATATTTTATGGTATTGATTGATGTATCAAGTAAATGGACATATTTATTTACTTTCTAGTCAAAATGTTGCATTTTCTAGATTAATAACACAGATTATCAGACTAAGAGCACAATTTCTTGATTATTTAATCAAGAAAATTCAATTGGATATTGTTGGTGAGTTTACTTTTCAAGCATTTGATAATTTTTGCACTTCTATTAAATTAAAGTTGAACATCTTGTTGCTCATGTGCATACTCAAAATGATCCAGCAAAATTATTTATAAAGTTCATTCAATTAATTGTTAGACCATTAGTTATGAAATCAAAATTATCTATATCTATTTGGGACATGTTATGTTACATGTTGCATCATTGGTTAAAATTAAACTAAGAGTTTTTCATAAAAATTCTCCTTTACAACTTGTTTTTGGTATACCACCAAATATATTTTATTTATGAACTTTTACTTGTGCGATATATATGTTTATAGCACCCCTATAATGGACTAAAACAGAACCATAATATAAAATAAAAATTTATATTGGTGTTGATTCTCCATTTATTATTAGATTTCTTGAACCTTAGACTAATGATGTTTTTAAAGAACATTTTGAAGACTGTCATTTTGATGAAAATATTTTCCCATCATTAGGGAAAGAAAAATTAGTGTCTGAAACATTATAAATTGCTTAGAATAACCCGAACATATCTCATTTTGATCAAATGATAAATTTACATGAACTTGAAGTTCAAAAACTAATTTATTTACAAAATATTATAAATCAATTATCGGATGTTTTCACTAATAGTAAAAAGGTGGTTAAATCCCACATTCTAGATACAAATTCTCCATCTAGAATTGAAATCCCTGAAGGAAAAAATAAGCAACACAATAGTAGATGAATTTATACCACACTTAAAGCAAGGAAGATTTATTGGTGCTAAGGATAAAAATTCTAGAAAACACAAATTATAATAAATAGATGATGGTACTCCTATAGATTCCTCATCTATAAAACAAGTAATAAATATTGTGTTAAAATTATTTTTTAATATTGATCCTTCTAAGAAGGCATCTTCTAAAGAGATCTAGTTACCTAGAAATAATGAGATCTCCATAAACCATATTCACACAAAAGAGATTTTGGATCAAAATAAAATTATCATAAAATATGTATTTGCATCACAAAAAATAATGATGAAATTGAATTACAAATTATAAAATAATATCGACATAGAAATGATTGGCTAATGTGGAAAGAAGCAATCCAAAAACAATTAAACTCACTTGCAAAACAAGAAGTATTTAGATATATAGTTCACACACCTAAATATGTTATCCCTGTTGGATATAAGTGGGTTTTTGTTAGAATACAAAATGAGAACAATAAAATTGTTTGATATAAGGCATAACTTGTTACACAAGATTTCTCACAAAAACCTGACATTAATTATAATGAAACTTATTTTCCATTTAGAAATGCAATCACTTTTAGATTTTTAATTGGTTTAGCAGTTTTAGAAACTCTAGATATGTGTTTAATAGATATAGTTACAACAAATATATATTGATCATTGGATAAAGATATCCATATGAAAATATTTGAAGGATTCAAAATACTTGAAGCCTTTTATGAAAAACCTAGAAGTTTTTATTCTATTAAACTATAAAAATCTTTATATAGGTTGAAGCAATATGGTCAAATATGGTATAATCGTCTTAATGAATAACTCTTAGAAAAAGAGTTTGAGAATAATAAGATTTTCCATGTATTTTTATTAAGAAAACCACATCTGGATTTGCTATTATTGCAGTATATGTTGATGATTTAAATCTCATTAATACTTCTGAAGAGCTTATAAAAACTACAACATATTTGAAAGATGAGTTTGAGATGAAAGATCTTGAAAAGATAAAAAAAAAAAATTTAGTTTATAAATTGAACATCTTTTAAATGAAATATTTTTTCATTAATTGACATATAAAGAAAAGGTCATAAAGCACTTTTATATAGAGAATGCTCATCCTTTGAGTATACATATAGTTGTTCAATCACTTAATATGAAAAAAAAAACCCTTTTGTAATTACTAGAAAAGGATGAAAAATTCTTGGTCTAAAAGTAACATATCTTAGAGCTATTAAAGCACTCATATATCTTGTAAATTATACAAGAGTAGATATATTTTTTGCAATCAATTTATTGGTAAGATACAATGCTACTTCTATAAAAAGATACTGAAATGGGGTCAAACATATACTTTGCTAGCTTCACGGAACAACTAAAATGAGGTTATTTTATAGTGGATTAAATTTACAATTGATTGTATATGAGATGCAAGTTATTTTTCTAATCCCTATAAAGAAAGATCGCAAAGAAGGTTATATATTTACTTGTGGAGATACTACAATTTCTTAAAGATCTGTCAAACAAATATTAATGGCTAATTTATC